GAAGTCTGCCACATCCAAGTGGGTGATGTCAAAATCATTATCAGAGACAAAATTGGCTTCAGGACCTTTATTCTTTAGAGATGCTTGATAAAGCTCAACCAAATGTCTTGGTACACGACAAATATTTGCCCAATGCCTTTTTCCACCGCAACGATAGCATTCAGTTTCTGCACCATTTGCTTTTGGCTTCTCATCTTTCCCTTTCCACTTTTGGTGGTTATTTCTCTTTGGGGGATGATTAACACCAGGAAAATTTCTTCCTTGTCTACGGCCACGACCACGGTTACGACCATGATCACGATCACGACTACGAATAGAGTCACGGCCTTTTCCACGCTTAGCATAATGGGAATACACCTCATCCACTTCAGGCAATGGTGTAGACCCAGTGGGTCGCTTTTCGTGATTTCTCATGAGCAAGTCATTGTTTCGCTCAGCCACAAGGAGAAGAGAAATCAGCTCAGAGTACTTCTTGAAACCTTTCTCTCTGTACTGCTGTTGCAAGACCATATTGGAGGCATGAAACGTTGTGAACGTTTTTTCAAGCATATCATAATCAGTGATAGTGTCTCCATTGAGTTTCAATTTAGAAGTAATTCTGAACATCGCAGAATTATATTCAGAAACAGACTTAAAGTCTTGGAGCCTCAGATGAGCCCAATCATATCGTGCTTGTGGAAGAGTGACCAACTTTAAGTTGTCATATCTTTCTTTTAAGCCATTCCACAAAATAAGTGGATCTTTGACTGTGAGATATTCAATTTTGAACCCTTCATCAAGGTGATGGCGCAAGAAAATCAAGGCCTTAGCACAGTCTTGGGTGGATGCTTTATTTCTGTCTTTAATGGCGTCTCCAAGACCCATTGCATCTAAATGGATTTCAGCATCCAACACCCATGTCATATAGTTCTTGCCCGAAATTTCAAGGGCAACGAACTTTCTTTTCATAATGTCAGTCATAATTAAAAAGAGGAGAAAAATTACCTTAATCTTCTCAAAGAGCTTCTTGAGGCGGTAGAGTCTCGTGCTGATAACGTGTTATAAAATAATAAAAGAATAAGAACAATATTGCAGAGAAAAGTAGAGAGAGAATTCTTATTGATTTGGGATGAATTACAATGGAATAGAACCCTCTATTTATAGGGAGAGGTTGACTTGGCCACCAAGTAATAAACCCTAGAATCTCTTTAAATATGGACATTTACCATAAATAGAATTCTATTTATAACAAGTTATTTGTGATTTGTACTATATATTATCAGGGGGTCACATTTTGCATTTGGGTGAGAGGGGTTAGCTTTCTAACTGGCAGAGCCGTTGCATTAAATGGTTCCGGCAGTGGCATCTAAATTTTTTATTATATTTTATTTAATATTTTTTACCATATTTAGAATAGTTGCAAAACTCCAACAGTACTAACTCGGCATATATCTTTACTTCTCGGGTTCTTTATAGTTCCAATTTTTTTCCCCACAATAAATGCAAATTGCTTCTAGTATTACCTTAAGTCCAAAGATTCTAAAGTTTCAATAAAATATTTGCAATGGAAAAAGTTGGCGTCTGAGTACTTGCGTGCAGAGGCGGAACTATAATTTAAAGTTTATAATTCAAAGTTTATAGGTTCTGTTTTCGTCACAGAACCCATAGTTTGTCTTAGTTATTGGGTTCACAATTAAATATTTATTCATATTTTATGAATTTTTCACAGAAACACAAAGTTTAAGCAAAAACTACTGGTTCGTTCGAGCGCTCACCCTCCGCTCCTGCTTGCGTGTACTCGCCGTAATGGAGAAGGAAGACGATAGTTATGACAAAGGACAGAATGGAGAAAGGCAAATTAAGTAATGGGAACTTATATGTATAACTAGGCAACTGACAAATGCGGCTAACTTAACTTAGCAATATTTACTACACTGTGCAGTAATTATTACATGTAATTAATTACTTCCTTTATTCCTGTCACTCTTTCCTTATATACTAGTGTTAAAATCCGCGCGATGTGCGGATAATTTAAAAATATTATTTATTTTTGAGCGTTATTTACTTATCTTCAATTTTTTTTAATTAGTTCATAGTATAAATATCCTAACATTAACTTTATCCCCTTTTTTTGTATGTCCATCTCTACTGCAATATTTGTTTAGTTTTCTCATTTTATATTTTACTTAACATTTGAATAATATAATATTTATTTTAATTATAATTTTGAATCATCAAAAGTATAATAAGCCTTTAACTTTTATACTATATATATATATATATATAGTTATATAGTTATGAAATTATGAGTTTTATTTATTAATTAAAATTTTCTATATGAGAAATTTAATTAATATATTTAATTTTACTCCATGACTTGGAACTTTTTTAGGAATATTCCTTTATGACTTTTTATTTATTATGATTTCTGTTATGTCTATATCACCATATATGTATAATTTTCTCTATTATAATTTTAGTTATGCCTTATATTTTTTTATACTATCAATGAAATATTTATATATTATTTTTTCTTTTGTTCCTTGATTATCTAATTATATTATCCATTACTTAGTATTATTAAATTGTCATATAATTTTTTAATAACTTACCATTTTAATATAATACAATGAATGTAGTTTTCTATTACTCCTAAAATTTAACTTGACTTTATCTTGTATGACTATTTCTCAAAATTAATTCATTGTTTAAATTTATTTATTATTTTTATTTTATCTTTTAGCAATTCAACGTATAAATTTTCTCACATTATATCCATCCCCCTCTTTCTAATATTTAATCTAATTAAGTGGTAGTTTCATCATCTTATTTTTGGCTCCGGCCAGAAAAAATAGTGTATTATCCTTGAGCATATGTTTGAAGAATCAAAGGAATAAGCAGAGATCATCTCTCTTTGATAGTATTGATCTTGTTGCAATTTTAATTGTATGATGCTGTCCTTTCTTAACTCTGCAGTATAAAATAGAAAAGATTTAGAAGAAAACTTAAATGTTAATTTTATCAAGTAAAGCATCTGAATAAATTATGAAAACTTTGCATAGTGCAAGCAATTAACTTGTATATTTTTAGAAATCAAAAAAGTTAACCTCTAGCGTAAAAATATTTTGAAAAGCCCCAAGCATTCTTGTACAGTAACTCTTATGTACAACTACCTCTGCGATTTCCTTGAATACTTTCATAATTTTCTCAACCTATACAAAAATCTCATTTAGATGTTATTTTCTACTAAAATCATTCTAAAATTAAATGTGGTATGTGTACTCCCTCTCATAATAATTTATTGTCTGACTTTCATCTTTCACAATTATATTTACTTTTCCTACTTGAACTAATTTTCTCTGCACCTAAATACTACTTGAAAAGAATAATACTATCCAATACTTTATATGATAGTAAATACAGATTGACTACCTCATTAAATTAAACAGCAAAGGTCGTGAATCAGTCTCCTCCAGTTTTGTCTGGGTATAACATTGTTAGTATCTTGAGTTGCTTTGCCACTTGATTTCCACAACCTGATTATCGGAAAATTATCATGAAGCAGAATATGCATTTATGTTGTAAGTACATAACATGCTTCTCACTGCATAAACTCCAAAAAATGAATCGAGCAGCATGATATAAATACATTCTCATCTGCAGTAATATCTCCAATTAAAATGGATTATCTGTCTTTTCGCGATCTGGAACCATCCATATTCCATAATCACACGACACGAACCTTTAAATTCCATAGCATCTTTGTATCGGATATATCATTGATGATGTCAGTTTTCGTATACATTTCTTTGAAGGAAGCAATGGCTTCAACCTAGTTTTTTTCTTCTATATTATGTATATTTTAAAGGTTGAAGTTATAATGTATTATAGGGTTATATTCCAAAAATATTGTAGTATTCTTGGTAGTATTTATATAGTAGCGGACTTTTTATTAGGGTCTAGAGTCTATCATTAAGGGTGTCTTCAATCATTAATGACCTTTCCTTTGACAGAAAACTTTTGAATAAATTCAAATATTGATTGTTTTTTATTTTGGAATGACTCTTGGTCACATTATTCTTTTCCAAATATGCCTCGTGATTATTGCATGATTATTCACTTTCCAACTATATTTCTTGATCATCCCTGTTGTGCATCCTTGATTTTCACACTTTGTAGGAAATTATGCATATTCTTTGTCATATAATTTTATTCCTTATATGGTAATATTTGAACTGCAAATATTTTAAGTAACACGTTGTAATATATATTTTTAATTTCAATATTAAATTTAAAAAGTTAAAAAAATAATTGTGTCTACGGTACTAAGACTATAAATCAAGATATTGCTTATATTCACAAAGCTCCAAAACTCATGATTATTCTAATACTAAATTTAAGTTCTCCCTCTCCCTTTTTAGCGCGTCTCATCCCTAGATTTATCTTTGATATCTTACCATGATTAATTATCTGGAAAATCGTATTGGACATTATTAAAAGAATGTCAATTAATAATTTTTTTAAAAAAATTAGTAGAAATAGAATCTAACAAATAGATTCTCTAATAGTGCCAAGTGGCTTGTCTAAGATTTATTTAGATTGAGTATAAGATTTATTAAACTACTTACATTAATTATGTTTCCATTTATAATTCAATTTTTTAATGTTGTCTTAAAATTACCAAGTGGCTTCTTTTTGGCTTGCCACTTGGCTTAACCACATGCTTCACTACTCTCCTTTTAATATAATATAGATAATAGGTGCAAGCGCCGAAATTATGTACGACAATGTAAATATAAATGACATTTATATGGTGCAGTTTCAATATAGGGAGGAGGTTGTCACCATTAAAAACTGGAGGGCTAGCTGTGACACCTAACAATCGTCAGGCAAACCCTTAACCCCAACATGACAAGAGAAAAAAAACCTAAAACACATAATGGACTATTAGGTGACTCTCTACCATCAATACATACAAGTGATGCACATGCATGGCAGTCTCTCGTACCATCATACCACAGTTATACATAAAAACATAAAACAACAACACAATTAACCCCAAGTGTCAACTATACATACAAAAGTCTCCCGGAGACAATACATTGTACAACAACCCATATGGTACATGGAGCCAACTCTAAAGTTCTGCTACAAGCGTTTTAGACTTTACAACCATATAAATACACAAAATTAAAGCTAGCCACCATGGTATGGCCGCTGGAGCTCACTACCTTGGTGGGAAAGCACTTAGCTTAATCTGCGCCGTCCTCAGACCCTGTACAATGGTAAGAGGAAAGGAAGGAGTTCACCAATTCAGTAAGAAATAATTGGTCCCTACAACGTTTAGGACAAACTAATACATTATAAGGACATATATATGAGTCGCTTCAACAGGCAAACCTGTGAGTCAAACATAATCGTGAAACATTTATATGACCATATACATATCTTAAATCCAACTATATGAATCCTTTGTATCCATCGTATCTTAAGGCTCGTTGGTTCCAATACTAAATTATTATCTATCTTTTTAAGGTATACGTAAATAGGAACTTCTACGGATGTTTTCTGAAACTCATGACACTCTAACCAATATTTTTAACAATCAAATCATTACCATAAATTGTTCCGTACTTGCATCTTACCCAAGTTTGCTAATGGAATAATTATAAGCTAAAGCTACAAATTAAAAGACAAGTCATGCAACTATACATATAACATCACCAAGAAAAAGAAGAAGTCATGTATAGTGATTAGGCCTAGAATAAAACAATCCCTTCAAGGAAAGGTCTCTTCAAATTTAGATATATAGTTCATTAATTAAAGGGTCGTTGGGCTAGATAACACACTAGATATACTCTTAGAGGAGAACTTTCATGAGTTTCGAAGACCAGCAAGGATGATTTCTGTGATGCCAAATAATGAAGCGATACTACAGTAACACGTCAACTCCATAGATCGGTTGAAATCTTCAATCTCTTAGCAGGACCATGAATATCCTTCTAATAATGCAGTGGTTTGTCTGGAGTAAAATTATATATATATATATATATATATATATATGCCTTCCTTTAATCCAGTTGCCACACATAAATAAGTAGGCTCCCTATCTGGCTTACAGAAATATGCACGATGATGTTACTATAACACTTTAGACTATAGCACCTTAGACTCCTAACATACCTAAGACTTTACTAATAAACAATGCTATATTGCATTTGGTGAATGCACCATAGAGAAGATAACATAGTAGAGATAGATTATATTCCGATTAAGGTTGCTAAATGTAACGTAAAAAGTCTTGCCATTGTGAGGGAAAAAAATTAAAAAGATTAGACATAATAGTTAGATAAGTACCTTATCCATCAAGAATATGGTTGGCAGCTCTCTTGCTCTTTGCTCGGGATTCCCCTAGAAACCTTGCTCAAGACACTAGAAGCAGGAGGAAAAAACCTTTTTTTTGTTAACATATATTTTCCTACCAGCTAGCCCGTGTAAGAGTAAAATACGCAATGATTTTGACTAACATTGTATATCTATCTGTTTTTAGCTTCTTAAACTTCAGACAAATCAATACAAACTTCTCCAGATGATATCAGCAGTAACCCGGTGAGTATCCAACCTAATAATACATTGGAAAAGAATAATACAACAGGAAATAACCTCAAGAAGATAATTATGCAGCCAATCCAATGTCTGTGGAAATGTTGCAGCTGATACGTCAACAACAGTCAAACCCTATTCAAAAAGAATAGTACAGCTCCTCATCTTAAAAAGTCTGAATAAAAATTCGATCTTCTTTATCGAATAAACTATCTAATGGAAACAAAGAAAACAAGCATCATACCTGTGATGTAAAGGAACACAAATAATCTTGAATAGTCATCAAGTTAGTTATTACTTTGTCTTTATCCTGAAAAGAATTTTCAAAAGTGAATTAACAGCTAAAGAACAAGCTAGAAACACAAGGGAAAATATTCACAAGCATACAAATACACGATGTCCCGTGTGTGTGCATATTTTCATTATAAATTTAATTATAAATAGAGAACAATCATTCTCCACCTTTCCTGTTCTTTCTGTTTTTATTTTTGTTTTAGTCCTTTTTTTTTTGTGTTCGGTAAGAAGGATCTATAACTTTTAAATGAAATTCGAGGAGACATGCATGTCCAGTAAGCACATATGTTAAGATCAATCTAAAAGATCAAATGCTCATTCGCTGAAAAAGAAAGAGTAGACATAAATAAAGTTGAACAGAGATATATAAGCTCTCTTAATCTACTACAAGGATATATATATATGTATATATATATGTTGTTGTGTGTGTGCGCGCGCGCCCAGATCAGGCACCAAATTATATCGAAATGCACTTAGTTAGATATAATAAATATGCAGATGCATATGTACCACCAGAAGGCAATGATATATATGGGAGCTTAAAAGCATTTGAAACCTGGGCAGGATGCTTCTCCCTGAAAGTACGAGTAGCTACCCACTCCTCCAGAAATGCCTGGTTATTGGTTAAAAGTAAAGCTTCCTCAATAAGTTAATTAGCAAAATATATAGAATATTGAGGAGCAGTCCTATTCCTTTGTGTCACACATGTCGATATAAGATAATAATATAAAGAGCTTAATTACTTGCATATTAAATTAGTAACGAGAAAGAGAATATGGTACTTGTAAGAATTGAGAAGTGCAATGACAAAGAGCATTCTGGTCAGGGAAGTCAGTATGTGAAGGAACACCAAATCCTGTTCTCCTCGCACCATCCTATTACTGCCTTTCCAACAATTCTCAGGTTCTTACCCAGTAGAAGCTGTGGTTTGGTTGTTACTCAATTGGAAGTTTGTGAGCTCGTATGTGAAGTTGGCATGATGTGTGACAAAGAAATTTATCTATAGTGGATAAGACAGGTAGCTACTCCAGAAAGGAAGTAAGGAGAGCACGAGGAATATGAGTGAGGAAGCACATGGAAAAATGGAAAGCGCCGTTGGAAATGATTGAAATAGGAGGCGAAAGAGGTAAGACAACAACTACGATCATATTCAAGTAAGTATGAGAAGATTGGGAATCAAACATAAACTCAGTAGTTAATCTCTCTAATTCACTTGGTCATAATTGTATATCTTGAAGATTAACAACACTAAAAGAATCTGGACCACCTTATGGTCAAAGTCAGCCATCCTTAGAACTATAGGAACAAATATTGGTTGACCACCGGAAGTTTGTTTTCCACGAGCAGGAGTTTTATCTACCCCTGAATGTTTAACTGCTTCACCAGCATCATCAGAAAGTCGGTGAGGAAGCTTCGATTCTGCCAAGAATTTAAAGGACAAATTAGGAAGAACTTGAGTAGAGGAATTTTTTTAAAAATGAAAGTGGCAAAGTTGCAGCAAGAGGTACCTGTGTCTTGACAAGTTTTATTCACAATATCCATGGATTTCAGGGAATCTGTCAGATTGTTTAACTCAGAAGATGCTCCTGTTCCTGAACTAACATTCTCAGGATAGTGATCTTGACTACCAAGGTCAGTACTGGGATTGATTTCCCTTTGTATTTCCTTGTGGTCTTCTACCTTCGAAAAGTTCAGTTCTTCATGGTCTACAGGAGGCGGTGATAGTAATTTATGCTCTTCTTCGATCAGGTATATTCTAGGATCTAAATGTATTCCCTGCCATTGTTAAACCATGCAAGCTAAGTGGGATCACTGAATGTTCAATCATCTCCGGAAAATTGAAGGTAGAAGCAAAAGGAAACTTCATTGTTACTATCAATTGTTGAATAAGGAAACTTCATATTTGCTATCAATTGTTATACGAAGCTTCCATCAACAACTCGCATTACTTTGCATCTAACTCTCATTGTGATGCCTTTCTATAACATGTGAGACTTATTATGGTTTTATCCACTGTCATTCTGCCGAGAGAGAATAATAACTAAAAAGACTTTACTTCTAATGATCTTAGTTTCAAACTTTCATGTCTATGCAGATTGAAGAATTTGCATCGTTAAAGAACAAGGGTCACCGAACACGTTTTCTGGAGCTTTATAAAGCTAGTAACTTCCTGCTTAGTTCCAGCGGCGTTGGCACTGAATAGCTTCAGGTTGGAAGGTATACGAATTAAAGATATGCAGCGCGCTGTAGGAGCTTCTTTAGTAAGTAAATTATAAGAACTTGGACATTTTAATCTCAAGGACTCGCTGTCTGCCACTCGCAATCCATCTTTCCCAATCAAAGAGTTCAAAAAGATCTTGAAAAGAAAAAAGAAAGAGAAAACAGAAAGGGCACTTCAAGAAACAACTAAGCATTACAAGTAAGCTGTCAGAGCAGACACATTATGATACATGAATTTGACTATAATCACGCCTTAAATAATCACCTTCTTGTGTAGTTTTTAATGCTAAAAGTGATGACAAAATGCTCTTATTAGTGATTTTCATGATTTGTAGGTGATATATGTATAAAGAAGGCTAAGGAGCAGTTTTGGAGTCAAAAGTGATGAAAAAGAGGCCAACTGTGAAATTTCCCAAGTGACGCGTGCAAAAAACAGGCCGAAGATTCAGAGAACTGGGCCCACCGCGGTTCCACCGCGACCGCGGCAGAACCGCGGTGGGAAGCAGCTGCTGAAGATTGGAGATTCCGCAAGGGTGTTTGGCCGCGGTTCTACCGCGACCGCGGCAGAACCGCGGCAGGCCCAGTAAACTTCAGGGACCAAAGTGTCAATTACGGGATTTTTAGACCTAAACCCTATTTAAAACATTAGACTTCGCCCAAGAGAGGCATGTATTGATTTTTTAGGTTTCTTAGCAAGGAAAACCATTGTGAGAAAATACTCTAAACATCTTTCTTCTTTTCTTTTGATTTTATGATGAATTCAAGCTTAGTTTATTCTCCCATAGCCATGAGTAGCTAAATTCCTTGTCTAAGGCTTTGATGGAACCTATTGGGTGATGAACTTCTTGTTTATGTGAATACAAATTGCGAGTTTAATCTTTATTTGTTCAACTTCGTGTTCGTTGTAGTTAATTGACAGGATCCTCGATTAGCTGTGCCTATTTAGTGTGCATAACTTGGAAAAGAGTGCATATTTAGGGTATTGTTGAACAACACCACTCCTAGATTATTAGAGGAATCTATAATTGTGGGTTTAAAGGCGGGATTAGGAATAACGAAGCCTTGGGTGCAATCTAAAGTGAATTGTGCTAAATAAAGTAAGCTAGTGTATCTCGGGAGAGTGCAATAGTAGATTACGGTAATTACTCGGGAGAGATTTGCGGTAAGATTAGCGTTCATGATTGATAGAGAGGTATGGGTAAATTTGTATGAGCATAAACAGAAGGAATTCCATCAATAGGGGAAATCATTGCCTTAGCTTTTTCTCATAATTGTTTACAACCCTTTTAATTTAGTTACAGCCATTTAGTTACTTGCAAACTAGTTATTAAAGAACACTCAACTGAGATTTGAATATTTGGGAAGCTGGTTCTGAAGACTTAGTGGGTCTGAAGATAGCGGTTGATAGGTTAACTCTCTGTGGATTCGACCCTGGGCGTAATACTCGGGTTATATTTGCAACGTCCGCAGAGTCTTTTTTATAAGGCATAGTTGGAAGTAATCAAATTTTGGCGCCGTTGCCTGGGGGAGTTAACGGAATTATTCAATGTGCCATTGAAGAAATACAAAGATTCTTAATTGTAGTCAGTTTTCTCTCTTACCAACTTTTTCAATTGAAAATTTTGACGGTTGTTGATCTGAGGACACAGGTGCCTATGCCTAGAAATTTCACGAGACTCGAGAACTACTTGAAGGAACTCTCAGACCCGAGAAAGGCCATTCCGGGCATTGAATCGTGCAACAAACAAAAGACTTCAGCAATCACAAAACAAACACACTAACTCGAAATTGACACGGCGCGACATAAACGACCCACGGGACGTCAGGAATGAGCAATTGGCACCTGCCTGTGCAGAGGGTGGCACTTTATGACTGGGCACAACCCACAGCTGACAATCTGGCCACTTGCCATATATTTTGCTGCCATGTGATACAAGCTGAATCGTTCAGATTACAAAATTAACATGCTACAACTTGTTGCAGAACAAGGGACTTATTTTCTGGGACACAAACAGAAGACCCTAGCAACATTAAAGAACTTCCTGTCTATTGGCAAAACTCAAAGGCAACGAACGTGACTCCGGAGCAAATCAGATTATTATTGTCCATTCTCGGTGACGAGGAGCTGCTCAGGTTGGGCTAACTCGCCTTCCCATAAAAACTCTATAGCAATTGGGATTGAGTTTGGTCAAGCAATTTCACAACAAGTTCCATCTCCCAACAAGACCGGCTCAACAAAATTAATGAGAGTGTGAGCTTCAAAACAAAAACCAATGGAGCACACTACACGAAGACATGGGGCAGATTTAAAGGAATGTTGGTTATGTGACCCCACAATGGTGTCCAGAGCAGATGTTGGGACAACGGTTTAATGGACTGTCAGACAGCTGTGAAAGAATATAGTTTGATGCCTCGGCTGGTGGGCAATTCTTTGAGCAAGACTTGGAGGAGAAAGGTCAGAATTTGCTCGACAGATGGCGCAGAATTCGGGTTGGACATCTAGGAATGCACCCATCACTCCAGTGGTTGCACTCAGTGCCTCTTGATCCTTTAATACAATGGCTGAAAACTTGGTGCGACTCTTTTGACGCAATGAGCATCCTCACCAAAAAGTGGAGGAATCAGGGCAGAAGCAACGAAAGCAGATTCTCATGAAATAGTGAGACACTACACAATGGGGGCTTGTGGCACATCTTGCAATTAGCCAAGCCAATTAGCTAATCCATTCCAAAATATTAGAGGCCATTATCATATCACCGCACCTCGAAGATATGACTATGTGGCTAACTATGGGGGTCAGAGGCAAGGTAATCAGAACTGGGGTCAGCAGACTCAGCAGCAGTACAGGCCACCGCAGCCACAGTATAACGCCGGAAACATAGGAGGCATGAGACCCCCCAACAATATGGCACCGTATCCTAGACCACAAGGGTACAACAATCAGCAGTAAGGGTACCACCCACCTCAGCAACAGCAGGGTGGAAGACAGGAAGACGGGTTTGTAAGGCTTGAAGCAATGATGCAGCAGGTTATTGGGTCCAATGCTAAAATAAATGAAAGGGTGGATGCACATGATGCAGCTATCAAGAATATTGAGGTACAAGTGGGCCAGATTTCAATGTCACTTAACAATCGTCCTCAAGGGACATTACCTGCAGATACCCAAATCAATCCAAAAGATCAAGGCCCAAAGCAGCTGATGGCGGTGAGTCTACGAAATGGTAGGGATCTAGATGTTGAGCAAGAGAGAGCTCGAGAAAACATACAGGCTGAGACACTAATTCCAGTACCCATTGAGCTGGATGACTCTACGGGATTGACAAAGGTAACAGTTCAGCCTGCTCCTGAAGAAACGAATATGCAGCACGAGACTGAGACAGTAGTTGAGCCAGTAATTGAGACAGTAGCGGAGCCAATAGTTGAGACAGTAGCTGAGAAGGGGAAATCCCAAGTAATTGGGAAGAAAAGACCTCCTGCACCATTTCCGCAAAGATTGGCCAAGCATCAAAAGGAAGAGCAGTATAAAAAGTTCCTAGAGATGCTCAAACAAATCCAGATAAACATTCCATTGATTGAAGCGCTAA